CATGAGTATTTGCTGCTAATAATCATAATGAGAACCAGCCACTCACACTTCCCAGTGTTCCGGGCCTGGAATTCAAACAGTCTAGGCATTACCTCATTTATCCTCACATCACCTCCAAGTAGGGGCTATTATTATCTTTTCTTTTAAAAGAAAGGTTAGGTTGGCCAGTGTGCTTCAGAAATGTCAGTACCTGGAAGACAAAGGAGGCTGAGGGACTGCCCCAGATTGAGGGCTGCTAAAGACACACGACAGTTAAGTGCAGTAGGTGATCTTCTCTTCTGTAAGGATTATTACTGAGACAATTGTCAGAATCGAAATGTGGACGTTGGGTTAGATAGTGATTATTTTTTTTAATTTGCTATAGGACACGTGAGCTCCCCAGAGAGGGAGAGAAAGTGAGAAAGTTAGCTGCCAGATTTGGGACTAAAACCGTAGTCAGCCGTGTGCGAGTTCAGCGCCTTAGCCACCATGTCACCTGCTGGCCCCAAGAAGACTATTTTTAATTGCTGAGCTTGGATTGGGTGACTAGGAACTCAGATTTGGCCATGGTGCCATCTCCTTACTCAGTCATGCCACCTCCACTGAACTACCTGTACAGCCTCATGTAGACACGTTCTGGCCTCAAATGGAAATTGGATGACAAGCTCATCTTCAGGACTTGCAGGTATCTGGTTCCTTCTTAGATTATGAGTTGAGCTTGAGGCATTGTGTAAACTGTCTAGGAAACTCTCTTTAACATGCAGGAAGTTTAAGAGGTTGAAGGAGCCCAGAGGGTGGCTTTATTTTTGCACTCAGGGCGTGTGCGTTTTGCTGTCATAGAAGGAACAGTCGACAAAGGTGACACATTTCTCCCCTGGTGTCCCTTCTGCTGCCTGCTGCCCGTGAGAAAAGAGGGAAGGAAGGAGGGGAACTTGGGTTGGCAAGGTTTGTAAGGGTGAGGACGTGGTCGGAATGTGGGGGTTCCCAAGAGAGAGGCCGGAAGGAAGGTCCGTCAGCACGCGAGCTCCTTTCCTGAGCGCCAGGTTGGGAAGGCGATCGGACTGCTGCAGCAGCTGCTGCTTACGTGAGACCCTGAGGGTCAGTGTTGGAGCCCTGCTGACCTGAGCGTGGGCCGTGGAGGGCTCGGTGGCCACCAGGCAGCCCATGCTCTTCCCCCTCTACCACCACCCTCCTGTAGCACACCCCCACCACTGATGTCCTGCCAGCCCTTCCCTGGGCATGTGCTTCAGCTGTCCTGGTGCCTGCACTGCCCACTTCCTCCTTGGTGCCCTCATGCACTCGTTCTCCAACTTCCTCCTGGGCTCCCGGCAGGTCAAGGCCCTCCTCCACGGCCCACCCTGTACACACCCCTTCATTCCACCACCACCAGGACTGTCCTGAACTCTTGTCTCCTTCCCTTTTAGTTTACGAGGCAGGGCCTGTGTTTACTACCATGAGTATTTGCTGCTAATAATCATAATGAGAACCAGCCACTCACACTTCCCAGTGTTCCGGGCCTGGAATTCAAACAGTCTAGGCATTACCTCATTTATCCTCACATCACCTCCAAGTAGGGGCTATTATTATCTTTTCTTTTAAAAGAAAGGTTAGGTTGGCCAGTGTGCTTCAGAAATGTCAGTACCTGGAAGACAAAGGAGGCTGAGGGACTGCCCCAGATTGAGGGCTGCTAAAGACACACGACAGTTAAGTGCAGTAGGTGATCTTCTCTTCTGTAAGGATTATTACTGAGACAATTGTCAGAATCGAAATGTGGACGTTGGGTTAGATAGTGGTGTCGTATCAACGTTAAATGTCCTGAATTTGATCATGAAGCTGTGGTTATATAAGAGAATGTCCTCGTTCTTAGGAAATACCCGAAATCCGACACGAGGAAGGGGCATCATGTCCCACTTACTGTCAAGGGGGTGAGAAGAAAAATACGTGTACACGGGCACAGAGGCTGATAAAGCAAATGCGGCCATTTTTAAAAAGTGCATTTTGTGGGAAGACAGTGGTTGCCTGACATCCATTCTAAAGCAGTGAGGACCAATATCTGACCCGGGCAGTCTGATTCCCCTGCACCAACAGCCCAGGAGACGCTCACTAGAGAGAACAAACAGAAAACGAAATGTGTAATCTCTTGATTTCCAAATCTTCCGTAAAAGTGTGTGCTAGTGTTATTCTCTCTCCCTTTGTGTCTCGTACCTTCTGTTCCCTCTCCCATGTTAGCTCTCGGCTCTGCGTGTCCTAGTAAAGGTCCATGTGCAGTCCTACAGGGTGCGTGCTGCAGAGTTCCCTTCCAGCTGGGTTTTCCTAGGGAGAGCTGACCAGCTGAGCTCACCAGCCTCCACTTCTGCACCTTCTGTCCCCTCGGAGTGTCTTTGATTACCGTTCAGCAAACACTGGCCGTCTCCTCAGCCTATAATCCTTTCTTTTTTCACGTGGCTGCCTGGGCTAGCTCATAATGAGTAGCCTGCACCAGGAGATGGGTCAGGTAAAAACTAAATGGCAGATCGTCTCTATTGTTGGCTATAAAGTGGGGACCTCTTTTCACACACACACACACACACACACACACACACACACACAGGCAGAAGCAGAGCCGCCTTATTAAGACACTTCACTGGCGATTTATTTATGCTCGCTGTCTCCAAGAAAATATTTAAATTAGAAAAAATATCTATCATTTGATATCTGGGGGAAAAACATACAAGGGAAAGTTTTGTTCTGAGGAACTTTCAGAATTCTTGGCAGAAAAATGTTAGGAACTATAGATAAATAATAGCAAGGACAGAGGGAAGGGAAAATTAAAGAGCTATGAAAGGAGGAAAAAACCCTTCTCATCTCTATGCTGCCGATTCTCCCGGGAACCTTCAGTAGGATCACCACTGTCTCGGGTGCCCATTCAGTTTTGTGTTTTCCCTTTCTGTTGCAAAGCTTCAGTGTCCTGGGCCTTCTTTGTACCAGGCCCTAACTGGAAACCCATCTTGGCTCTTCTCAATTCATACATCTCCTCTTAAACACTGCCTTCTCGTTTCTTTCCTTCTTGGAACATTTCTGTGGCTCCCTGCTTATCTCAGATGAAAAGTCAGATGATTTTTGTTTTTCTTTTTGCCTTCCATTAAAAAAATCTTGGAGCACTAGGTGGTGTGGTGGTTGAGGAGCTGGACTTCACATGGCCAACTGCAGTTCAAGTCCCGGACCTGGTGGCTTGCTTTCTCACTTTCCCTCTCTGTCTCTCTCTGTTCAGATTTTTTAAAATAATAATAAATAATAATTTAAAATACGTATCAGATAATGTTCATGTTGAAGGTTGTGTAATAAAAATCATAGGAGGCCATTATTTGGGACTGACCTCCTACTCTAGACCTCAAGAGACTGGACCAGCATACTAAAATGTCTCATCAAATTGAATGTTCAGAAAGCCGATAGAGCTCCACATAGACCTGTTTTTCCTGAAACCAGACATTCCGGTCAGCCTGAGTAAGGCAATAAGACTTATGTCTCAGGACCAGCAGATGGCGTAGTGGTTATGTCGCTGGACTCTCTCATAGTCGACCATGATTCGAGTCCCAGACCGGGTGACTTGAAATTCACACTGTGTGTGTGTGCCCAAGGTCCTGAGAGAATGGAGATTGTGGCGTGGCCATCCCCTTCCGGGGGGGGGGGGGGGGGGGGGGGGGGGGGGGGGGGGGGGGGGGGGGGGGGGGGGGGGTGATTTCTCACTTTCTGTCTCTCTGTCCAGTGAGTGCATACATCCTGTAGCAAAAATCTCTCTCAAAAAAAAAAAAAAAGAAAAACTTATGTCCTTTTGCGGCTGTCTTAGGAATGTGTACCAGCATAGCTCAAGATTTCACCTAAATTCATCAACATTTTTGTTTTGTTAACATCCTCCTTGCCCAAATACGTTCATCCTTTGCCGTCCGGACTCACTGTCTCCACACTTTGCTTAAGATGAAGCTAAGTAACTCCAGGTGACTGAGGTTGCCCTGCTCAGTGCTGTGGAGTGTAGCCACTCACGGCTGGGTAAGACTCCTGGCTGCCCCCGTCCCATTCACCACTGTCCTTTAAAATCATCCTGAAATCTGACCTCTGGGCACACATCAGGAGGGGACACTTGGATTTTGTGGTGTCCAGGCAATTGTCCTAACCTTGGCCCGAATAAAATCTCTTGCTTTCCTTACTTTGCCTCAGCTTTCTTTTTTTAGGTCAACAAGATTTAACTCAGAAAGCTCTTTAGGGACCTGCAGATGGTGTAATGGTTACATTGCTAGACTCCCATGTAGTAGACCGTAGTTTGAGTCCCGGGCCGGTGGCTTAAAAACTTAGGCCAGGTGCGTGTGTGCACGCATGCACCCAAGATCTCAGAGAGTGGAGGAGAAGGAATTACAGCGTGACCACCCCCCTGGGGAGGTGATTTCTTACTTCCTGTGTCTCTGTCCAGTGAGCACACATGCCCTTAACGAAAAGCTCTTTTTCTCAAGCCAAGGCTCTTTTACCTGTATATTCAGGCCTTTGGGGAGACTGGTCTGGTCTGAAGCACACGATAGCATTCCTACCTCCTCTGCTCTGCTCATGCCATCCCCTCCACCAGGAAGGACCGCCGCTCAATTCCTGCTCATCCTTCAGAGCCCAGATTAGTCTTGCTGACTGCTTGAGCACGCCCCCCCCCCCAAGCTCTCGTAGCCCCAGCGCTCCCTTTATTATAGGCATGCTCTCCAGCGGTCCCTTTTTATTGCACTTATCTCTCGCTGCATCTGGCGTAGTGATTCGCAAGTCACAGATGCTCAACAAATGTTTATTTGCTGGTTGGTTGATCGGGGTCTTCTGTGTTTGGAGAACTGATAAGGTGGAGCCATTCCTCCAAAAGATATTTTCTCCTAGTGGGAGCTGTGGGCCAAATGTACATCCCACAGAGCGGAGAAGCCAGTGCCTAGCTGCAGGCCTGCTTCCTGGGGATGGACACACGGGGGAGGCAGGACTCCTTTGCTCACTTCCTTGGGGGCTTCTTTGTTTTTCAGATTGCAGAGCCTGAGGCCTGTGATCAGATGTACCAGAGCTTAGCACGACTCCATTCAAACTACTACAAACACAAGGTGAGTGGGCCAGAATCTTTCATATCCTAGGCTCCCACAGGGCCCGACCAATAGGAATGAGTGGAACTCTGATTATACAGTGTTTGGTAGAGAATTACAGTTTCGCTACTTTCAAATGTAACCAATAATTTCAACCAGACCAACAAAGGTGCCTGGTAGAAGCTTTTAGGTCACTTAAATAAAAGCTGTTTAAAATTATAACATGCCAGTGTGTGCTTCTGGGGGATCTGACAGCCGTTGCATCTTAAAGGTATTTTCCCACCCACTTTGATGATTTCCCCACCCTGGTGACAAAGATAGGGTGATTGGGAAAGTCCCATCAGACACGCCAGGCCCTTCCGTGATTACTGTCAAGTTCCACTTAGTGTGGGGTTTCTCAGACTTAGATACATTCCATGGGACTAGCAGATGGCCTTAACGGTTACACCGCTGGACTCCCACATGGCTGACTGCGGTTTGAGTTCAGACCCAGTAGCTTGAAACTCACACTGGGCATTTGTGCGTGTGTGCCCAAAATCCCAAGAGGAAAGTGGAGAAGAGATTGTGGCGTGGTCTTCTCCCAGAGGGGTGATTCCTCGCTTTCTGTCTCTCTGTCTCTCTGGCAAGCACATGTACCCTACAGCAAAAATCTCTTTAAAAAGAAAGAAAGAAAAATACATTTAATAACTACAAATATACACTGCCAAATGGGAAAGCCTACATGGAAAAGGGGTTCTTCTAGACCCTCCCTAATCAGAAGGGGCCCCCGACCAGTGACTTGGGCATCCCCTGGAGTCTGGTGAGACATGCAGAGTGTCAGGTCCCATCCCAACCTCACGCCTCAGCCCGCCTTTTCCAGAGAGGATTCTTGTGCGTGGTAACGTTCTTGCAAGGCCACGTCTTGACTCAAGGTGGCGCTGCTCTTCTTGCCAGGTCCCCTGGCCTCCACATACACTGCCCCGGTGAACTGCAGTTAGAGCAAGGCTTGCGGGCTCCAGAACTAATCTCTCCCTTCCCTTGTCTCTCCCTTTCTGCCCACGACCAGTACCCTCGCCCCAGAGACACTAGCTTCAGCGGCCTGTCCGTGGAAGAGTACAAGCTGATCCTGTCCACAGGTACTGAAAGCACAGCTGCCCTTTCTAGTTGGTTTGCAAATGATTCTCTGAGTTGGAGTGGCCACGGGGAATTGTCTAATAAGACAGCTTTGCTTGATGGAGGGTTTTGTGGAATCGCCCAGAGGAATCGGGAAGTTACAGAGCTCATGCTTTTTGGCCATAGGATGGGGAGAACGTCAAAGGCATTATTTTAGAAAGAAAAATCCATCTTAAATGCTTATAAATTCAAAGCCGGGCAGCAGGGAACAAGGGAATACATATTTGCCAAATGGAAGTAGTTGAAATCAGGATGGAAGGAAAATAATTTTATTTTTATGGTCCTAAGGGGCTTTTACAAACAATGCGGGTTTTAATTAAAACAAAAAGCCATTCAATAACCGCGTATGGGGATATCCGCCTCGGCGTTATCTGACCCAGGGGACGCGGTCTGTAGGTTAGATATGGGCTTAACTAGGTATGTTTTGTAGTCATCGGTAACCCCGATTAATAGGAAAGGAAACACCCTGCCGAGCCCACCCCCTCTACTTCCCTGTCTCCATTGTCACTGGTGGGGGAGCCCGGGTTGAAGTAGGCAAGTACAGGAAAGTTGCTATTTTTATTGCCAAGGATATTGTATACAAAAATAGGCTAACCTTGTATGGGAGGACATGGCCCTGCAACATTTGCCTTCTGATACTCCAGAAGCTTCTCATTCCTTTCGGCAATTTGACCACCTAGAAAACTTAACTTCTGAGCAGGTTAGAACCTGGTGGTGTCGCTGGTTGTCATGTGTTGACCCCAACCCTGTTTTTATTACAGTGCTCTCTGGAAAACTGAGGGAAGATACTCTGACCAGGCAGAATCACTGTATTGGCATTTTTTTATGCATAAATATACTCCCACGTCCGTGGGTCCATGTAATTACCAGCATTGGGGTACGGGGTCAGCATGAGGGCCCATGAGTTTGCGCTGAGCTTGAACTTGAAATATAGAGTGGAAATAAGTTCCAGAGGCCCTGCCTCTGGGCTCTTGGTTCCCATCAGGGAAGCCTCTGTGCGTGGAGGAGACTCAGCAGCAATGAAAGGTTGCGGGCGCCCGCCCTTGGCCCACGCTGCAGTTTGTTCTGCCTGGGAGTTCAGCTCCAGGACGTCCGCTGACAGTCTGTCCTCACAGCAAGCCTCACACACAGTCACAGGGTTACCAGAGACGGGCCGAGGAGAGACCCGCAGCATCTTGTAGTGAGGCCCTGAGGGCTGGACAAGTCCGAAACATGGCTGTGTCCCAGGTCACGAGTATGTCCACCTGAGCCTGGGGCATGGCAGGCACTGAAGGAGGCCTCGAGGCCTGTTGGTGGACAGAGTCCCTCAGTGTCACATTTTATCCCCATAAGGGAGCCTGGGTTTCCGGAAAAGTCCTAGAAGGCAAGGTGTTAGGCTTATGGCTAAAGTATAGTGTCATCCACAAAGTCACGGCACATTACTGCCTAGAAAAACAAAAATATGTCACGACTTTTCTGATGACCCAATAATTTAGTCAAGAGCCCACTGACAATAAACTTTGTTAATAAATAATCTAACTTACCTTTCTGTTCAGAAAAGCGAGTCTTTCTCTCCAGATGAAAATTCAGCTATGAAAGCTAAACGATATTATAAGGCTATCTAAATTTAAAATACAGGTCAAATTAGATACCATGGAGCTTTCGCCATGGAGCGACAGTAGACCGATGGTCCCCACAGGGATATATGATAATGTGTGGAGCGTTCTTGATTGTCACGGCTGGTAGTCGGGAGCAGAGACAGAGAGTTTGCTCCTGGGATCTAGTGGGTAGAAGCCAGGGTGCCCCTGGACACCTGCAGGGATCCACAGGCCAGCCCACAACAGAAACCAGCAGGCCCAAGATGCCAGCAGTGCTGAGGGCAAGCCACCCTGTTTGGCCCCTGGGTGCAGGTGGTGTGCTCCTACACAAAGGCTTCACTGGCCCACCACTCCTCCTGCCTTTGGAGTGGCCACCTTCTCACTGAGGGCAGGCCAGGTAAATTACCTCTGTTTCCTCTAATTCTCACTTTTGAATTGGACATTCTTATCTTTGTTTCACAAAGAGGAACCCAAGGCTCAGAGGGGACTCAGGGCAGGGCGATGATGAGTAGGGTCAATCCTCCAAGTCTGTCTCCTTCCCCAGTGGCTGCCCAACTCCACAGCACTAGTGGGCCTACACTGCCTGGGTTCAAATCCCAGGTCCACCAGTTCCTAGCTGTGTGGCCGGGGCAAGTTACTAACCCTCCCTTGGCTACAGTTTTCACATCTGAAAGATGGAACCGGTAAGGTCTGTGTGGTGCAGGCTGAGTTTGCGATCAAGCATCTGGGCCGCTGCCTGGCTGGCACTGCAGTGCCGCCTGTTTGCCCTCCCTTACGGAGCCGGGAATGAGGCCTGTCCTGCTTAGATGCTGCGGGAGGCTGGTGTGACTGTGCAGTGTGCTAGGCCTGGGGCCTGCCCCGTGAGTGCTTGCTCAGTCACCCAATTACCTGTTTGACCTGAAGCAGATCTGCACTTCCTTTGCTCAGGAACACACTGTGTGCAAAGCAAGATATTCTTGTGTCCAGAAGCCCCTTGGGGCCAATCTGCATTATGAAATTTAGACCTCAGTCTGTCTGTCTTCTTTGCAGACACTTTGGGAGAGTTTAAGGAAATTAATAAAGGCATGTGGAAGAAACTGCAGGAGAAGTTTGCCTCCAAGGGTCCTGAAGAGAAGCATAAGGCCTGGGCCCAGTCCTTATCTCGCCCACGTACCTAAGTATGGAGCCTCAGATGTGGCCACCTGCAATAAAACCCGTGATTTCTCTCGGACTTCATGCTGTGGGAATTTCATCTTGCCTTCACAAAAAAGAAAGCCCTTATTACTCCAAAGAAAGTTCCACTGGAGAAGGGATGCCATGTGAGCCATCTGCCATGACCGTTGGTCAGAATGGGGACATCTCCTGGGGGGAGGAAACACGGGTTTCCCTCTGGGCCTCTGCACAAGGTGCTTCCTGCACAGCCACAGGAGCCCGCACCTTGCCATCAGGGGCTGTCTCCTGGCGAGATTCTCAGGCTCCCTTTGTTGTAGGAGCCTGGGAGAAAGCCAAAAATAGCAGTAAATATCTAAAAGGGCATCCTGTTGCAAACAGAAAGCAGCAGGAAGGTGGTGAGGCTGAGTGAGGCAGAAAGTCTGCTTGGCCCTCTTCCCCACTGACTCAGAGGGCAGAGCTCAGGCCTCTGCCCCGACCTTGCAAAAACTCCATGTGCCAAGTTGGCCTAAGGTACTGGCCTTGGCCAAACAGAGCCTCGGGTTGGAGTGGCATCAACACCCTGCGCAGGTTCTGTGCAAGGCACGGGACAGAGGGGACACACACAGGGTCCCCTATTGTGGAGAGTGGCCATTTTGAACAAACTTGATGACTTTTAGACACATGTAGAAATGTGGTTTTATGAGTTTTATTTGTATAGCAATGAAAGCATTTGTATGTGAATAAGTGCCATGTGGTTTCTCTAATCTTTTGAAACAAATTCTGAATAAATCATGTAGCTTCCTTAGATACTGCTTTACAGTATCAGACAGCTAGCGTATTCACATACAGATGCTTTCATTGCTATACAAATAAAGCCCACAAAACCACATTTCTTCGTGTGTCTAAAGATCACTGTGTTTGTTCAAAATGGCTGTTCTCCACATCCTACTCCGGGGAACCTTGGCTGTAACATTCCCTCCTGGAGCTTCCTTCTGTCAACCCTGCTGAGGGGCCAGCCAGTGGAGTGGCACTGACACAATGCTCTGCAGTGCTTAACTCACGTGTGAAGGTCCCAGGTTCACATCCTGAGGCCTCTCTGCATGCCAGCTGTGTGCATGCATGCTGGATCCACGCTGGCTTGGGAATAGACCACAGTGTGATGACTCTTGTTAGAGATCCCCCCCCAAAAAAAGGAACAAACTTAAAAAGACAAAAAAGAAAAACCACTTTTGAGAGAAGAGGGTAAGGTATGGGCAGTGGGCCAGCAGCTCCCCTCACTGGTACAGAGCAGACGTGGGTTCTTAACCTCCTTTGTACCCAGGTGCTTCACATTCCGAAATAATGTATAAAGTGAAATGCAGGATTACCATGGAAAGCAGTTACACTGAAATATGGTCCTGTCCAGGGCTCTGGTTAGGAATCCCCCATATTGATGTCACCTGAGCATCTTCCGAGAGCCCACAGAGTGGCCAGGCATGGGAAAGACTTGTATTGTTGTCACCATATGCCGTCAATCCCCAGGGCCTCTGGGGGAGTACAAGAAACACTCCTCTTTGTAAAAGACTAGATTTCTATTAATTTATTTAAGGCAATTAACATATTAGTTCTCAGGCCAAAAGATCTGTAAAACAGTACACCGAAAGGAGAAAAAACAAGCAGTCAGGATACCCACTCTAACAGAGCTCAGCCCGTCACGTGGGTGTGTGACTCTTCCCAGGACACCTGAAGAGGCAGGTCCCAGGAGTCAGGCCGTCCATCCTGGAGTCACCAAGCCACCTGATGCCAGGGGCAGGCTGGACAGGGACAGTGAGGTCTGCACGCTGTCTATGGGAGCTCTGAGGCACGGAGGGGGCCATGCAGCCATGGGAGGGGCTAAGCACGGCACCCCTGGAATAAGTTAAGTAACAAAGCCCTAAAGTCACTAGTAACAGCGTCACTGCCACCTCCCCCAGGGGCAGGCAGCCAGCAAAATGTAGTGCTTGGAGGTCAAGAGGTGACCCCACTCCGAACCACCCACAGGACTACAAAAGAATGTCAGTTACTGCTTTAAGGGACAGAGGTCTCCGGACTTATCTTCCTCTAAGGCATTAAGGTAAACTGAGTCCCAGTGTAATGCTGAGTCTTTAAAGGCTCTTGGCAGGACCGTCAGCTCTGAGGTGCCCCTCCATGCAGGGCAAAGCCTGGGTTCACGTAGGAGTGTCTGGCAGAGTGGGAGCTAGAGGCTGGTGGGCACTTAGCCTCAAGAGTCCGGCAGGCAGACCAGCAGGGCCACGTGACCCGAGAGAAGGCAGTGTCGCTCCCAGTTCCAGTCTCCAGTGACAAGCAGGCAATTGGGGCCTCGGTGTCTCTCAGCGGCTCATGCAGTTCTGGACGTCCACAAAGCCTAGGCGTTGCCTGCGTTTCCGCTGCTCCGTCATCTACAGTTAAACAGACGCATGGGCCCAGTCAGGCCGTGGGGGGCCCGCCCTCCCTGCCAGGGACCCAGCTGTTGTTCAGCACTGGCTGTCAGCCAGGGCCCCTCGGGGTGCCGAGAGGGTGTCAGCTCTGAGCCTTGTTCTCAATTAGTGTGTCACAAACCCCTGATTTGGTGCAGCTGGGAAACCACCCCATCAGAGGGGCTGCCTCGTCTTCATGCAGTCACTGCTGGGTGCAGAGGAGGACGCTTGGCTAAGAGGGGATCTGGAGAGGCAGAGGGATGCCTGAAGCCCCATCATCCCCTAGCAGCTGCGGGAGGGAGGCCGGCATGCCTCTCCCCAGGCTCCCCTGGCCTTGTCTCAGAGGCAGAGGACAGGGGTTGCCGCCTGTCTAGCTTTCCAGAGTGGGGGGCACTCAGAACCTGCCTTCACGCCAATAGGAAAGATGGGCAGGGACAGGGGTGAGTAGGCCAGCCCTCGCTCCTCCCCCTCCTCGCCCGCCCAGCGCAGGACCCCAAGGGTAGGGCGGAGGTGCGTGGGTGCACACCTGCTCCTTGAGCTCGTTGAGCTGGGCGGTGAGGTGGGACACCAGCTTCATGGTGGAATTGAGCTTGTCCTGAAGAATCCGGATCTCATTCTGCTCCCCCTCGCCTTCATTGCTCACCAGGGACATGGCCCGCATGCGCGGGAACCAGTCCAGGTTCTTGTTCTAGAAAAGATCCCCGGTGCAGTGAGCAGGCTTGGGCCAGCCTGGGTGGGCGTCACTTAAAGAACAGTGATTCGGAAGAAGGCTCCTGCCACACTCTGAGTGACTCGCCAGAGGCATGCCGTGGGAAAATCTGAATTGTCCTGGGTGCCCCTGGGCCAGCGAGGGCTGGCAGTGAACGCTCTACCACTGCGACAAGCTGACTTCGGCTAGGCGGCCTCGTCGGCTGAGCCTGAGCCCTCTGCCGTGTCAGCACCATCCGTGTATGCTCAGGAGGCACCGCAGGGGCGGCGGGAAGGCCTCTGCCCAGACCCTGACTCGCCTCCTGACCAACACACACACCCTGTAGCCAGGAAGATGCAAGTCAGATGCCAGACCGAGGGAGCGGGAGGCCCTGCCAAGCAGGCCTGGCACCTGACACGTGTCGGAGCAAAGCTGCCTTCCAGGGACGCAGAGGGTGCTCCAACCGTTTTTCTCCTTATTATGATCAATTCTCAGACCAGCAGGTTAACCAATACCCAAAGGTCAGTTCAAAACACAATAGAACTTCCCTTCCGTATTCACTGCTGTCACCCTCCGTGACTACGGAAATCGGGCAGTGGATGCAACTCCTCTGATACTTTTAAGGTGTTCAGGCCCAGGACCACCACCCAGACATTAGGAAGCTGCCCTCTCTCCCCAAGCTGGAAAAGGCTCCCTTGGAGTGAACAAACACAGTGGCCCCGAGCAGGGTGTCCCCACTCTCACACCCACTATGTAGGATGTCTCCACGGGTCCAGGACACCACCCTCATCAGCAGGGCTGATGGCTTTGCTGTGGGCACTCTCCTGACAGCAGAAGAGCAGGAGGCCCCTCTGTAGAGGGCAGCTGCAGGCCCGGTGCAGCTGGCCGAGGGCTGCCTCCAGCTGGGCCTCCGCTCCCCTGCTGACCTCAACACGTGTCTGCAGCTGTCTGCACCCTCCCTCAGGCCTCCTGGGGCAGTGCACACAGATGCAGCTGCTCCACTGCTCCCAGGGCCCCGAGGACACGGGAACCGGCCAGAGGGCCTCTGGTGCATGGTGGCTTTGCCGGCAGGAGGCCTGCTCGTGGCCCCACCTTGATCATCTGGGCCACGTAGCTCTCGGGGCCCGTGTAGTCCGTCTTATTCTTCACGCGGACCAGCACGATGAAGTACAGGTAGTTCCACATGTTGTGCTCCAGCTTGATGTGCTCCTCGAACGACACCGTCTTGTTGTCGAACTTGTCCCTCTCCAGACCTGAGGGTGCAGAGCGCGAGGACGAAGCCATCAGCCCCAGCAGCCACCGTGGGGCCAGCTGGTGGAGACACACGCCTCAGTGCAGCGGGGCCTCTGTCATGATGAGCACTTCCGACAGCACGCCCTGGGCTATTTAGGTCACTTCTATTTAAAGCTCCAGCCACTGAGCCGTGGGGATCCAGCCCCACCACAGCTGCAGCCCGCCCGCAGTGGCAGCTAAGGGCTCTGGGAGTAGATGCCAGAACCCCCAGCCCCAGGAAACAGGAGCTGGGAAAGGGGATGTGTCGTGTGGGTGACACTCCTCCTAAGCCTCAGGTGGCTGGTGAAGGGACATGTGCTTCATACCTAGGGTTGGGGAAGCCCCGGACAGACCAGCAGCTTGAGGCCCCTGACCACACTGCAGTCTCCTCACCGAAACCAAGGGGGCTTAGAGGGGTGGCTCCGAGGCCCTTTCCTGCTCCTTCCTATGACCCCGTGGTCGGGAAGTGTCACACTCCCCCCAGTTCTGGGAGGAGCAGGCAGGGCCACTGGCCCATGGTTCCCCAGCGGCTGCAGGAGGGCCTCAGAGGACGCTGCAGTCCATAGGCCGCCCCAGCCCCGCTCCAGCCCGGCACAGCAGGGACCAGGCCTCACCGCAGATGAAGCAGGTCGTCTTGAGAATCTCCTCCTTCTTCTGCTTTTCACTGCGCAGGTCAGCGAAGGT